GTTACTGGCACAGGCGAGAGAATGGAGTGGAAAATCACCAGCAGGAAGTGGGGACCTGGAGGAAGCCGCTTGTCAGCTCCTCTGGACAAATGGATACAGGAAAAGGGGTCTGCACCCAGCAGCCTGACAGACCCACACCCTCCGGGGCCTGGAGCCGAGGCAGGTGAACACCAGGCCCAGCACTGGCTACGTCTAGCAGCCGCTCTTAGCCCTCCCTCCCCAGGAGAGGCTGCCAGCAGATAAGCCTGTCAAGCAGCCACCTCAATCAGAAAAGAGCCTCCCAGAGAAAAGGACCAAGTTATCTACCCGCTGCAGCAGCTGTCTGGGAAGACCAGCCCAGTTCTCAACCAGGGCGTGCCAGACAGGTGGGGCAGATGCGACAGTAATACAGGAACAGCGTTTCAGGGCTTGAGGGCTCCGGGAGGGCAATGAGCTGAAGAGGAACTAGAAAAACAATCAAACTGGTATTTTCAGAAATTCAGGAAGATCGCACATCCAGAAAAGACTATCCTGGGAGGAAGACAGCTTCTTAGACATTACAAATGTGACCCATCACGCCCTGCCCCCACGATCGCTAGTAAATGATCACGGTGCACAAATGGAAAGATAACCCTGCCAGAACAGAGGGCAGCAAACAAGACGGAACTTCAGATTTACGTGACTCGGAGGGCCAGCTTGTGGCCCGGTGATTAGGGTGGCTGGAGCCCACACAGCCAACCGCACGATTCAAGTCCCGGACCTGATGGCTTGGAAAACACACCGGGCACACGTGCATGCATGCCCAAAACCCTGAACGAAAAATGGAGAAGGGATTGCAGCGTGGCCATTCCCCCACGGGGGGTTCTCTCACTGCCTTCTCTCTCTGTCCCTCCAGTCAGTGGATGTGTCCTATAGCTAAATTTTTAAAGAGAGGAGAAAATGAACTGCTCAGCTCCCTTAATGGTTCGTCAGGCGACTGAAATTAACTGGCAGGGAATCTGCCATGCAATCGATGTCACAGGTAGGGGGGCAGGTTTGTTTGTTTGTTCTACAGCCCGCCCTGACAGAATATTACGGGGGGGGAAGAGGGGGGCTAACAGCTCTTTGATTATGGATTCCAAATAAATGACAGACAAGGCCAAGAAAAATGCTTCGAGTTCAGCCTGCTTTCCATTTCATTTTGTGAAAACGGGACCCGGTGAAACTCGGGCCCTCGGGGCAAGGCAGTGTGAGCGGGCATTGCCGCCAGCCAAGGGGCCTTTCGTTTAAGGCAGGGACTGAGGCAGGAGAGGCCTGAGCCAGACAAATGGTGCCACTGGTGCTGGGAGGCTGCCAGGCCCAGAGGCCAGCAGAGCCGGCTTGTCCCGCAGCCCGGTTTCTAGAAAGTGGCAGTCACTGCAGGACAGGCAGGAGAGCAGGATTTCCCGCATTCGCAGACCTGGAGCTCACACGGGGCCAACGGGAACCCCTGCTGGGCGTGGCTGGGTGCAACATAAATTTGGTTTAACCCACCCCTTAAATAACTGCACACTTTCCCTGGCCTCGGTGTCTTCTGTATAACAGGCCCGCCGCCCTCTCCTTCCAGGACCATCCTGTGCTGCATTTATTCCTAGGGCTGCCGAGGAAGCCACACCCCGG